AAAATTGTCTGAATTAAAATGGTAATAAAGGTAAGTGACTGAAAAAAAGAAAAAAAAAAAAGGAAACGAGTAAAAAAAAATATGGGAAAACCAAAAAAAAAAAAAAAAAAGAACGCAGCAAAACAACGAATGTGTCGGCAAGAAGCCTTCATCAACAAGCAAACAGTTAAAACAGAATTAAATTTTTTAAAAATAGCTGAAATGTAAATGTAGTATCCGAGAGGACAGTAACAGGAATGTGCTGGCATGGGTAGGTATTATTAAAACAATATTTGAAACAAAATTGAACATTTTTTTTGTACAACTCTTTTCTATTATTTAGTGAAGTAAAATAACAACAGTTGTGTCTATAGTCCCGTTTTTAAGGCTCAGGTATAAGAATAAATAAATAGATTGACATATTGGTGGGTAGTGTATACTTGGTCAATTTTGACAAGAGTATTGATCTATTGGAAATCGTTATCGCATGATTATACTATTACAAATTATGCACGTTTCTTGACACGGCGCTGTGCCCCGGCATGCATTACATAAATAGCAAAGGACTTTTTTTTTTCCGGTGTTTAGTTGACCTTCCTTTTCTGGGTTTTTTTTTTCCTCCTAAACTCTAAAACAAGGAATTTCTGTCTACATTAATTATTAGAAATACTTTTATGTTTTAGTTTAAAAAAAAAATGCAACTGTTGATGTCTGTGGAATATAAAGATTTTAGGGGCAAGTATAAGCTAGTTCAAAAAAACATAAATTCAAGGGTACCAGAACTGGAACAATTTTAGTTTTCGTTTAGCTGGATGGAGTTAAATACACCCCTGATGGTTATTATGAATAATTTTGCGATTTCTACACGTAAATCTGATACACCCCCACCCCCCCCCACCCCCACACACAAAAATTGTTTGAAAGAAATAGCGAGTTTAAGTATCAACATTTTTCCTAGGCCCCACAAGCCTCATTTTTTGGTTCCCCCTTCTCTTATGCTGATCAGAATAACAGTAAGTAGTTGAATGTAAGCTTGTGCCCAATGATTACCCTGTGAATACAACCATAATCAATTCAGTTTATATATGGATGGAACTGGGAACCATAATGCTTTCCCAGACCCTTGAAAAATTCTTTCCGATCACCAATCGTGTCCTACCGTAGTTCCCTATATAAATGACAGTATATCTGGCACTGATCACCAATCGTGTCCTACCGTCCTTCCCTATATAAATGACAGTATATCTGGCACTGATCACCAATCGTGTCCTACCGTACGTCCCTATACAAATGACAGTATATCTGGCACTGATCACCTATCGTGTCCTACCGTACATCCCTATATAAATGACAGTATATCTCGCACTGATCACCAATCGTGTCCCACCGTC